TTATTCATGTTGTAGCATGTATTGGTACTTCATTTCGTTTTATGACATTGAATGGTTATAATATAATTTGTTTATACAAATAATTGGGTTGTTTCTATCTTTTGGCTATTGTGAATGATCCTCTAATGAACTCAATGTACAAATATCAGAGTAATGTCTTTGGTTTTAGGGGGCATGTACCTACCTAGCAGAACGAAACTGCTGGGTCATGTGGTAATTTCTGATTTAACTTTTTGAGAAATAGCCAAACTTTTCCACAGTAGTTGCACTATTTTACATTCTAACTAGCAATGTAAAAGGGTAATGTTTTCCCTGCATCTGGCCTAGCGGTACGAGTTGCACTGCTAACCCGAAAGCATGAAGTATGAATCCACCAGCAGCTCCACGATGGGCGATTAATCACCTCCCATGCAATTTACTGCTTCTGAAAACCCACTAGAGAGTCAGCTAGGGGTCAGTTCTGACTTGATGGGACTCAACAACAATAACAATCTTTTCCAGTACTTGTGTATTCAGTCTTTCCAATGAAGAGCAATGCGGCAGTATACTTCTGTAAAGATTCACAGGCTTCGAAAACCTACAGGGCAGTTCTTGGTCCTATAGAGTTGATATGAGTCTGGGCCTACTCGATGGCAGTGGATTGGGTGGTTTTTTTAATAACTAATGATGCTGCACACCTTTTCATGTGTTTATTGGTCATTTACTCATTTTTAGAGAATTATTTATTAAAGTCCTTTGCTTATATTTTAATTAAGGTTTTCATCTTTTTGTTCTTGGGTTGAAGAATCTTTGCACACTCTAGATGGTTAACTCTTACCAGATAAAAGGTTTGCAAATATTTTTTTCTTGTTCTATACATTGTCTTTTCACTCTCTTGATGTTGTCTGATGTTAAAAAAGAAAAATTTATGATGAAATCCAATTTATCTAATTTTGCTGTTAATGCTTTTTGTGTTATATCTAAAATGACTCATTACCAAATTCAAGATCCTTAAGTATATATATACTTCTTTATGTTCTTTTAACAGCTTGATGTTTCTAGCTCTAATATTTAAGTTATTGGTCTTAATTTTTTTAAAATTTAAATTTATTATTAATTTCAGTAAAACTTCACAGAGACTTTAGATTTCCATTCATTCATTGTTGCACTTTTTTCCCCTCCCAACCCTCCCCCCTAGTACACTACCCTCTTGGAAAAGTAAAAGAAAAATTCTTTCATTGTTTTACAAACCCTCCCCCA